TGTCGCTTCTGGGGAAGGCATGGTGCATGTCTTTGTCTCAAATGGCCGATGGCCTACAGAACTCCCTACCTCACAAGGTGTCATGTCTATCCCAGTCTCAGTACGGATGTTCTCTGTGAATGGTAGACCTGTCGGCAATGTGTGAACACTTCATAGCAAGGCGACAACATTTGTGTCCAAAGTGTCACAGTGGGCAGTCCATAGTGAGGAAGGATGATTACATGCTTTAGCGAGAAAATCTGTGGATCACGAAGGCAGAGAGGGCCAGGCGTCCACATCGAGAATAACTGCACCGCGGGGCCAGTCGCACAGCAACTAAAGGCTCGGCCGAGAACAGGAGAGGAAAGCAGCCGGAACCCGACAACATTTCCTGTTTATCAATTCAAATAAAATAGTTGTATTCAACTGCTGCATGCTAAATTCAGCTCACAGCAAGACACTGATAATATAATAAAACGCGCATACTCCATCCTCAGCAACAGGCGTCCACCATCAATGCTGGGCATGGACAAAACTAATGGATTTCACTTATATGCTTATCAGCACGACGAAGAAGTTAACCAAAGTAATAAAGAAAACACATTTTACATAAACATACAGAAATTCAATAAAGAATGTGAAATAAACATACACTTAACCCTCCTGTTGTTCTTCGGGTCCAAATCTGAACCGAGTTAGCTAAATTTCATCCAATCATAACTCGTTTGCTTTTACATTCGATTTGCATTAAGGCTTCATGATATCCTTGCACCGGAGAGCATTTTGAACAACTTTTGTAACAGCCCATCATGTGCTTGTGTTTCCACACACAGCGGAAACATTTGATACATTTCCCGCTCTTATGTGCCCCTCCTCCCCACATGGATCACACCTGGCACACGCAATAAATGTTTAAAACAAGCGGTCTGTTCTTTGTATATCAAATCTGCAGTTGTTCATGTATGCCAGTAGTCTGATGCAACTATGTAGGGGAGTTTGAAAGGGTGTTAAAATGAAATTTGGTGTGATATAATGGTTTTTTTTTTTTTGTTGTTAATTAGGGCTGCGAACGATTCATCCGATTTTAATATCAAAAATCGTGATTTGAAATGATGGCGTTATCAAACCGCGCAAAGCCTGCGATTTTTTTTAACGTATTTTCTTTTTCTTCTTTGTGTGTCAGATCATGGCCACACCATCTGAAGTGGCTGTGCTCCGCACATGTACCAGTTAAATCTGTTAACGCAATCAGAAGTGGGCCCATGATAGAAGTGATGCGACAGATTGGACCCCCCCAACATCATCTGCCCAAGTAATTTGTTTTGAAAGTGCCCTGCCCTCCAAATGGCTTCCAGAGCTTTTCCTAGGATGGGTTGCGTGAAACAAACCATCCCTGAGTCAGGTTAGTAAATGCTCCATCACCATGTTTCTATAGCGGCCCGTCGCAACACTACAGCTTCAAAACAAAAGCTTGAGCATGGCGTGTCTGAAGCTTGGGGATTTATTCGGAGCAGCGGCCGACGCAACAACCAATCACATGACTGTCCCGCCCCCCCGCATACAACAACGCAAAAAACGCCGCGGGATCCTTTACTGAGAGCCCATATCATATTAATATAACCCTAGCAACTCCCCAGACAGGCAAAAACCTACCGTTTCACCGCAATGTCTCTGGCCACCTCCCTCCATGCCTGGTTTGTATCCCGGTAAATAGTTCTGGTCCGAAAGAACCGTGATTTGCTACCGTAAATTTCCCGTTTGGCAATATGAGGAAATGAACTGGCGGTCTGGCTCTCCAAGCTTGCACGCGGTTTGATTGGCCCTAGCGCTTGAACTGTCAGGATTTGCATAAACGGGATTTGATTGGCTGCGAAGTTGATCATTGTTCAACTTCTGCGCAGCCGGAAGACGCCGGAGAAGGACGGCTATGCCTAGCCCACAATTCAGTTCGGCAAAAAGCGAGGCAACGTGACGTCCATCCCAATTCAAAGTGAAGTGGGCCCTGACGTGTTGGAAACCCGCGTTTTTTGAAGCTGTCGAAGCTGTAGCTGTGGAACGGGCCGTTACAGGGTGAGTCTTAACTGAAGCTTGACTTTAAAGCACCCAACGGAAGTTTCATGTAAGTGTTAGGTTCTTTCCACTGCCGTAGCTCGGGCTGGCGGGGGTTGCTAGAGACGGGAGCATGTTGATGCGACCTTACCTACAGCCGGAGTTATGGCTGCATTTTACAATAAACTTCCGTTGGGTCGCTTAAAAACAAATATCGCAAATCGAATATCAATCGCAATATTTGTCAGAAAAATCGCAGTTCGATTTTTTCCCCAAAATCATGCAGCCCTAGTGTTAATGTAATAGCAGTTAAAACAGGACCGCGAACACTAAAGTAAGGGGGGGAACGAAGTAAGAATCTGCAATAAAATATATATACAAACATAAGTTGGAGTAAAAATATATAATAAAATATAAAAATGTAATTAAATAAACTAAAGAAAGACTATGCAATAATAATAATGTACATTTAAATTAGATGTCTATATATTACAATATACACAATATCTATAGAACTATAGTATAGTGCCAGTCTATTGACTCAAAATGAACAAAATCAAGAGCAAGTTGTATTTGACATAACTAATAATGTTTTGACAGGAGAAGTTTAGCTATGATATTTGTTCTTACACTAGTTAATTCTTCAGTCTGTGGTTCTTGTTTGTTAGATTTATTGGTTGGACGAGGGTTAATCGTTCTCTAATGACAGCTTGTCTTCAGCTCATCACGTTCCTCCTCCATCGACAGCTCGGTGGGATCATCTGCCTAAAAAAAGCTGTTTTCTTTCTCGAGTGTCAGTTCCCAGCGGAAGACAGACTTCAGCTTATTTTTGGGATGATGGATTTGGCTTTTAAGTAAATGGCAGGAGGCTGTTTTGGTCTGATAAACACTCGGCACCCACTCTTGACAAGTAGCTGGGATCAAAGCGAAGCTCCACACCTTTGAAAAATCGGAGACAAAACAACGAGAAGACAGAACAAGACAGCTACAAATGGGCTTTTAAAAAATAGATTAAATGCAGATTTGAAACGGAAAATGACGCATTAAAAAGTCGAGGTCGCACAAATATGTGCCGATGAGTTCTGCTGAGTCAGCAAACACACAAATGCGACTATAATTGTAGACACAGGTTTGCACGGGTATACAACACACACACACACACACACACACACACACACACACACACACACACACACACACACACACACACACACACACACGACACACACACACACACACACACACACACACACACACACACACACACACACACACACACACACACACACACACACACACACACACACACACACACACACACACACACACACACACACACACACACACACTCAATAACTGTAATTGCTGTCTGCCTCACTAAAGCTGTCACTAAGCCTTTGACTACCTCATGTCATGAATACACACTATCTCCCGCTGAAGCTTATGTACAAGTACAAACACACACACACACACACACACACACACACACACACACAGCTTCTCGCTCTCCCTGTCCATCCTTTCCACTTACGACCCATCACGTATGTCAATCATGCGCTATCGTTACTTCCTCTTTTAAATTCTTCACATCCTAGATTCCCTGTCACGCAGCTTTACTGAACAATATAACGTTCTGTCAGTCTCCCCCCTTATCCCACCATTCACCCCTCTCCCCCTCTCTCTGCTTACAGCTGGATGTCCGAGTGAAAGAGAAATAGGGTCTGCGACAGAGGGAACTGCTGCAGAGAGCTCGTACCTGTTTATCGGGTACACTCAACGGGTGTTAGGAGTTCACGTCAACGTAGCTCCACGCAACTGTGTCATGGAAGTATAAATAGATTGTTGTCGTCCACCTTTAAACACCGCTCAAGTAATATCACATCTGCTCTAGCTTGGGGAAAATGCGCTGAATGCCTGGATGGTGCACTCATAAAAGTCAAAAGGTTTGGTGTGAAATGCTGGACACTTTTCACACTCAACAACCGCCGCCATGGCTACGTTACAGAAGCTACGCAAGCAGCCACACTTGCTCTGGTGAGCACATTAAAATATAAATAAAAGTTATACTTATGGTTTTTTTCCATATTTAATAAATGCACCACTATACTTTCAATCGTACAAAAAGCCACCATTCATTTTTCCGGTAAACTGAAACTGAGTAGATGTGTGCTAACGCTATCCTTAACAACTACAATTGACATTTCTGGTGATGAAACCGAACCCAGGTGCTTGTGAGACAAGGCTTTGAAAAACACACTAAGCAAGTGTCAACAGTTCACGACATGGCATTGCACTCAGGGGAGTAACAGCACATGATTTTGCACAAACGTTCTGTAACGTTCTGTAGCATGGTGCATGTTCGTGCTGAAGGTGGTAATCAAGTGTAGATCATCTGTAGCTAATTTGTTTATATATGCCATGCCATTGAAATATTCTTACATAGGGTACGAGGTAGGGCTGCTCAATTAATCGTATTTTATTCGCAATTATGATTATGGCTTGCAACGATTACGAAAACAACGTAATCGAAATAAAACGATTATTTGTTATTATTATTACTTTTTTTTTTCAAATCTTTTTTTTTTTTTTTTTTTTTTCAGTTGAATTATACATAAAGTTCAGGGTAATCAACTGTTAAAAACATACTGTTCACATTTTTTTTTCTGCAATAAATTCATGTTTTCAAAGTAAATGGATAATCGTTTTTAATAATCGTGATATCAATTATTGACCCAAATAATCGAGATTATGATTTTTGCCATAATCGAGCAGCCCTAGTCTTCAGTACAGGTGGCAATATTGTCACCTGCCTGCGCTCACCT